GCCACAACTTGCCCGGAACACACAGGCCTCACCCTGCGCCCTGGAAGAAGGAGCCGGCCCACCGCTTCCCGCTGGGCTGCTCCTCGGCCTCCACGGGCCCGCCTGCGCCAGCAGCACCCCTGGGATCTGCGTCCCCAGCCTTGCCCCCGTCCGCTTGCAGCGCCCGGCGCCCGCCCAGGAGCGCGCGGCAGGGGTGAGTCGAAGTCCGGGATGCGCCAGGCGTGCAGGGGAGGCCGGAGCATCTCGGTGCCCGCGAAGCCGTGGCCTCCGTCTTTTTCGCCGAAGCGAGACTAGGCGCTGCAGACCCCGCGGGCCTGCCTTCCGCAATCCTCACACCCCGTTTGTCTTGCCTTCAAGGGGCGGCGCCGAGGCCCCACTGGAGCCCGCGTTCCCGGGCCTTTGTCTTTGTGGATTCGGCGGGTCGGCCCAGCGGTGCGCCCGGGGCGGGAGACGCTGCACCCGGCTGGCGGCCCTGCTGAGGCTTGGGGGCCAGAGAGAATGGGAAAGCGGGCCCCCTTCTTTCCTGTTCCGGCCATCTTGCGACTCAGATTCAGCCGAGGGGCGAGGGTGGCCAACCACACGGCGCTCGGGGCCAGGCTGGTGGCCGGGAGTGGAGATGAGCGCCTCCGGGCCCTGCGCGCCTCCTCCCCCGAATGCAGTGGGAGCGCGCGGAGAGACCCCCATCTGCATTTCCAAGGGCTTGAACCCAGAGCCCCGGTGAATTCCCCTAACAAGCCAGAGGCACAGGTAATACGAGGGACAAGGGCCGGGAGCTGACGTTTTACCTAACCAAGCGCCTAATTCATTCGGATTATCCTTTATCCATGTGTCCTTTTTGGCAAATTCTTAACACTTTTTCTCTGCCTGATTTATACTAGGTGCTGGGATATAACGGTGAGCAAGAGAGACCACGGCCCTTGTTCCCGCTGATCCTGCAGCCCAGTGGATGGAGTCCACAGTACCTAGACCTGCCAGGTTGGTGTCCTGATGCCTTTTAAGCAGACTGGGAAACTGAGGCCTAGGGCTGATATAACTTGTTCTCGGTCTGCACGTGGAAGAATCAGACCCTGAAGCTAGATCTGTAAGATTTGTATGCTGGCTGCAGTGAAACGGTAATAGCTCTTTTTCCCCAAAAAAATCCCATTCAAAATTATTGGGATGTTTGGTTTCTGTGAAGTCTTAAGAAGTGTATGCTTAAATTTTTGGATGCTTTCATGTGGACTTATTTGTAGTTCTCAGTGTTTAGAAAGGGCTAGAAATGGTTGATATTACAACGTTGCTTCCAGTTACTCTCAACTGTATTTTCCTTTCTTCTATTCTTTGGCTGTTAGGAAAGACAGAAATTTTCCTGATGGTTGGTCCAAACAGGGACTCCCGGGTGGACTGAGGGATGGCTGGCTTTTCCTCAGTTCATGCATCTCTGTGGTAGCCACAGGCAGTCCCCAGAAGACCTGGAGAATGAGAGCCCTGAGGTCTACAGGTTGCTGCTAGAAATATTTTAGCCCCTCCAGAAAACAGAATGCAGCTGCCACACAAGTTTGTAAGGTAAATACCAGGGCCCTATAAAGTTTCCCCTCCATATAATTGTTTACATCTTTATGTTTTGAAAATGTGTCCTTTTGGAAAGACAAGGAAAGTTATTACACATTCTGGGAAGTTCTCTGGTTTGTAAGAGCTTTCCTGGTAGCTCAGATGGTAAAGAATCTGCCTGCAATGCAGGAGACCCGGGTTTGACCCTGGGTCAGGAAGATCCCTTGGAGAAGGAAATAGCAATCCACTCCAGTATTCTCCTCTGGAGAATACTATGGACAGAGGATCCTGGCGTGCTATAGCCCGTGGGATTGCAAAGAGTCAGGCTCAATTAAAGGACTAACACCCTCACATGCTCCATCAAATATAATTGACTACACTACAAATTTAATTCTTAAAACAACTGTAAGTGTACTATACAAAATGGGCCCTTAATTTTCAGTGTACCATTCAATGAGTTTTGACAAATGTATATATATCCCTGGGTAATCAACAGCCCAATCAGGATAGAGAACATTTTTTTATTATACCCCCAAAGTATCTTCATGATCTCTGGCAGCCAGCCCCCCTCCATCCCACTGATTTTTGCAAAGATTTGTGTTTTAACGTTTTTCTGAGCTGCGTGTGAAAGATAAGGATGAATGGCTATTTCTGATCCCCAAATCTCAGGCGACGGTCAGAGGCTGGCTGCTAGGATGTGGTTCCTCACCCTTAGGGACTTGGAGGGTGGCGTCTGGGGAACCGGGAAGTGCGTCCCCTGGAGGGGTGGGCCGGACTGTCCTCGGGCCCACGACGAGCTCTCGTCTGGTCCCGCAGGACTCTGGGCGCCCGCTGACCGCGCGCTGGCCGCCTCGCACTTCGCTCCAGGTGGCCGCCCGGGGCGCTGCCATAGCAACGGCCTGGACGCCCAGACCTTAGGCCGCCGCCGCCGGGACCCGGCCTTCTCCCGCTCCCGAAGGGTGGGGCGGCGGCGGCCCGGGAGGCGGCCCGGGCCGGAAAGACGGGACTGCCCCCTCCCCCGATGCCAGCGGAGGCCGCGGATTTGCTTCGGAGCATGGTAAGGGGGCGGGAACCCGGGGATGCCAGTCTGCGGAGGCGGCGGGGTGGGATGGGGGGAACGATGGAGGGCGGCGGGACCCCCAGCTCCCTCAGCCTCCCCCCGCTTCTGTCTCCTTCCCGCAGCCCTTTCAGAAGCACGTCTACTACCCGCTCGCGGCCGCCGGCGGCCTGGAGGGACCCGACGCCTCCAGAGCACAGCAAGAAGCTGCTCACCAAGCAGGCCGGCGAGATCAAGCTGCTCAGGGAAGAATGTAAACGCAGGAAGAAGCTGATCTCCACCCAGCAGCTGATGATCGAGGCCAAAGCCAGCTATTACCAGGTGGGACGTGCCTGGCGATTGGCCAGTAAAACCTTTAGCGCCGACTGGCTGGGATATGGAGAGTCCTTTCCTATAGCCCTGCCATTTGTGTTTGTTTAAGATTTGTTTAAATCAGGAGAAAGTAGTCTTTAAGCGAAAGAGTACTTTTAACTAACAGATGACATGGCTCGTTACCTTGTGCAGACTAACACAGGGTTAATAATTTAACGAGCAGCCTTGTCTGCAGTGCTTTAGTGAGTTATCTAAAAGCCGGGGTGGTTCAAGAAGCTGTTTCCTCCTCCTAACAGGTGTAATGAAAAATAAACCAGGTGCAAAGTGCTGTTGAGGTTGGGCCCCAGATGATATGGAATGCTTACATCTTGTGTATTTTTTCCCCCTTCATTTTTAAATTTTGAAATGTTTTAAAATTTACAGGAAGATTGCAAGAACAGTGCTAAGATTTCCTTATACCCTTCAACTATATTCACCAATTATTAGCATTTGCCACCTTGGCTTTATTTCCTCTGTCTATGTATCATGCTATTACTGTTGAGCCATCTGGCAGTGAGTTTCAGAGTCCTAAATATTTCAACATATATATTTTCTAAGAAGAAGAATACTTGCTAGTATAACAGCACTGTTTAAAAATTTAAAAATTCTTGTCTTTTTGTTCTTAATCTTCAACTGTTTGTTCTTGAACCCGAGATAAATATTGTCATTTTTGAGTGTAACGAAGTCAGCGTATGTATCTTTTATGAATTAGGTGGAGAAAGGAAGAATGCTTGATGAAGATATCAAAGTAAGCAATAGACTGACAAGATTGATTTCACACCCTTACATTCCAGTCATTTTGGCTAAATAGGACTGAACAGGCCTTAGTGGATTTAGGAGAGAGTGTGGAGAACTGGGTATAGGTGCAGAAAACAGTGTGGTTAATTGTGCCTAGGACTGTCCCAATAGGAGCCTTGGGAGAAGTGTATTTAAACTAGGTGAACAGTTGGGAAAGAATCCTGATAGAAAGTCTTAATGTTTAGCCTTGGGTACACAACCCCTAGGTGAAACCATCAATGATACCTGATATTGATAATTGCCTATTTGTTTCACAAATGCTATTTAAAAACTAAAATTGATGAATAGTGCTGAGATGGTTCTTTAGAAATATATTATCATAAAGTAGATAGAATGGGTTCTGTTTAAAACCTTTAAAGAAAGTACACCTGGCTTTGATTTTAAGCAGTGAACCCTTAAAACCTGTAAGATAAAAATTTTATATTTATAAACATTTTTTCATTCTTTTGGTTGTCATAGAAATAGCTGTTAGTAAATGAAGACTTTACATTGATAATGATATATGAGGATAATAAACTAATGGCACACTTCTCTCAAATGAGTGGAACCTGCCAACTCTTTGACCACTCAACAGACCCTCTGAGTGGTAGTGTGTGCCCAGGGGTGGTCAGGAAGAGGTAGGAAAGACCACACCGCCTTTGCCTACTTAGTGTATGTAGTGCAGGCATACTCTGCCCTCTGTTAAGTGACTTGCCATTGTCTCTTGGTGGAGTTGTTGAGCTGTGAGAGCATTTAGGGTGACAACTCCAGAGTTATTCGACTTGGGTTTGAATCCCAGCTATTCCTCTGCACAAGTCATTTAGCTTCTAACCCTTAGTTTCTTCATCTGGAAGACAAGAACCTTAGTAGTAGAATCCCATGAGATAATGCATGCATAGCCTGAGGTGGTTGATTTAGGTGGTTTAGTCGCTAGGTCGCGTCTGACTCTTGCGACCCCGTGGACTCTAGCCCTCCAGTTTTCTCTGTCCTTAGGATTCTCCGGGCAAGAATACTGGAGTGGGTTGCCGTTTCCTTCTCCAATAGCATGAGGAAGGCTCAGTAAACAGCATCTGACAAATGGATGTTGATATCTGCAGGGGCTTCTTCATAGTGAACTGTGGTTACCTGTGATCTATGTCTTTGTGATATAAGTATGATGAATAAGCATAAGGCAGAACCTGAATAGGAAAGCATGTAAATAGCACAGTAGGACTGAAGCAGCAAAATCAAGACTGAGAGAAACTCAGCAGGACAAATGTTCAATTTCTTTATCAAGAAAGTTATAAGGAAAAGAGAGCTGGAGGTTCAGCCTATAGACTAGCAGAGAATTAAGGGACAAAACAACTAATGCAAGGTATAACTTTATTTGGGCCCTGATTCAAAACAAAGTGCAAAGGATGTCCCTGGTGGTCCAGTGGCTAAGACCCTGTGCTCTCAGTGCAGGGGGCCCAGGTTCCGTCCCTTGTCAGGGAATTAGATTCCACATGCCGCAACTAAGGCCTGGTACAGTCAAATAAATAATAAAAATAAAAAAGTATTTTAAAAAAATACAAAAATATTTTCTAAGGTGTGTGAAATATTGGGAAAAAAATAAATGGTTGGATATTTGTCAATAATTAAGGAATTTACACATTTTAGAAGGTGGGATGATAATATTATGATAGTGTTAAAAGAAAATCTTTTTGGAGATAGATTCTGAAATATGGACAGATGAAATACATAATATCCAGGATTTACTAAGAATAATCCAGGGGAAGGATATAGATGAACAAGTTGATTTTTTTTTTTTTTTTTTGCCTAAAAAATAAGGTAAAAAGGAAAAAAAAAAAAAAATGGGAAGAACGAATTTTTTCAGTAAGTTCATTTTAGGAGGCCAAATATTCCTAAGCTTCTGATCAATGATCTGTTAATGCTGGGCTCTGGGGATAAAGCTGTGAAGAAAGAGAAGAGAGTTGAAACTCTCAGGAAGCTGACATTCTAGATCCTAGAGGAACTGGACAGGAGATAAGAAGCAAAGGAAGTAACTAAACCTGACAATACTAAGTGGTGAGATGAACCGTGATGAAAACAAGACAGGGCCTGGCAGGGGGCTCATCCGGGAAGATGTCTTAAGGATGTGCAGCACGGCCCCAGCACGGAAGATGCTCCGTAAACGACATCTCGGATGTTGGGAAGGAGCCAGACTTTCATGGGAAAGTCTGGGGGAAATTCAGGCAGGGGACTGGCCGATGCAGAGTGTCTGAAGCTGGCCTGTGTGAGGGACAGGAAGAAGGCTGGCATGGCTGGAGTGTCATGGACAAGTTGGTGCTGGTGGGTTGGGAACCACCTGTGTAAGGGGAGCAGCATCAGGGGCTCCAGAAACCACCATGATGGGCTCCGTTAACTGAGATGGTTTTTACTGACATGTGTCCAGTTTGGGATGAACACCCTGGTTATAAATGCCTTTTTAGTTATGCTTTCAGCATCACTTGCCAGGCTGGTATCTCTTGGGGAAAAGCCCCCAAGAGGGAGTGCTTCAGGCACCCAAGTTTTAATTCAAATTAGGTGGAAGGGCACTTCTTAGAGACACTTGGAGTCATTGCTCTCTCCTTTTCAGTGCCATTTTTGTGACAAGGCCTTTATGAACCAAGCTTTCCTACAAAGTCATATTCAGCGCCGCCACCCTGAAGATTCGCATCTTGGTAAGTAGTGAGCTCTGCCTTCCAAGAGCTATTTTCTTTAGCCCTATAATAAAGGTACTATTTCTGGTAGCTTTTTCTTTTTTCAGCGAGACATGGTCCAAAGCATCTCTCAATCCTTTTAAAAGAAAGCATCATAGTCCTTGTTTGAATACTCATTAAGTGAATATTGATCCCCTGTTATGTGCCATGTACTGCATTAAGGCTCAAGGATGCAGCCATAAGCAAAACAGGCCCTGTCTGGCTCTCTTACATCTTAATAGAGGGGATGGAGGAGTCACATCTAAACAACTGAGTGATGTTTTCAAATGGTGGCAAGTGCAGTAAAGAAAATAAAGTAAGAGAATGGAACTGAGAGTGACTCCTGGTGGTCAGCCAAGGCCTCATTAAGGAGGTGATATTTGATCAGAAACCAGAATGATGACGGGGTCGCGGCATGCAGGAAATCTAGGAAATGAAGATCTCAGGCAAAGGGAATTCTCACTGTCGGCTGTGTTTGTGGGGGGGTGGGGCAGGCTGGTGTTTTTGGGGAACAGATAAAAGTTTGGTGGAGCAGAGTGAGCAGAGGTGGGCTAGGAAGGGGCCAGGTCACATAGGGCCTCAAATGCCCTGGGTAGGGTTATGGGCGATTTAATCAGCATAATGAGAAGCCACTGGAGGATCTTAAGTTGGAGGAGTGGGGACATGATGTAATTTGGACTGGTATTTTTATATTTTTTTGGCTGAGCCACTCAGTTTATGGGATCTTAGTTCCCTGACCAGGGATCCAAAGCACTGCCAGTGAAAGCATCAATCCTAACCATGGGATGGCCATGGAATCCCCTCCAGTTTGTACCTTTACACGACCCATCTAGTAGTGGGCGGGGGACAGACGGTAGGGATGGAGGTGGAAGCAGATTGAAGCATCAGGAGGCTGCAACAGGTAGTCCAAGGGAGAGAAGGTGGCAGCCGGACCAGGACGGGAGGTGGGAAAAGTGGAGATGGAGAGGATTTATTCTGGACACAGAGCCCACAGAGATGTGACTTCACGTGGGAACAGGAGATGAAGTAAAGATGATCCTGGGCTTCTGAGGGTCGTGGGTACACTCAAGTCACACATACAGTCGCCATGCACATGGGGATGCTGGAGGTCAAGGTAGAGGCCCAGGCTGGAGATAAAAACCTGGCAGTCGTTAGCAGAACTGGGCTGGATGAGGTCACTTAAAAAGAGAAGACAACTCAGGGCCAGCCCCACACTAGGAGCCCAGGAAGAGCACCTGACAGCGAGAAATAGCAGTGATGGAGGCAGGAGGGAAGTGGAGAGTGTGTTGTCATGGAAACCAAGGGGCATGAGGGTTTCAAGAAGGAGACAGTGACCCCCAATGATCTTGAGGCACAGAGTAAGATGAAGACTGAGAAGTGAACATTGTTTTCCAATGGCAGTTGGTAGCCTTGACATAGCGGCAGCGAACTGCTGGGGACAAAAGCTGGACTGGAGTGAGCTGAGCTGAGGATCCGGCAAGGAAGTGGTCATGTCGATTACAGCCATTTATTTCAGTAACGTTTGCTGGGAGAGAAAGCAGGGACAGGAGGCAGTATCTGGAGGGAAAGTGGGACCAAGGGAAGATTATTGTCTCATTTGCAGTGGGAGATACTAAGATGTGTTTGGGTGCCAGTGTGAATTAACCAGGGAGGAGGGGTTCTGTGGCTTGCAAGGAACCAGGTTTGCGACTAATCTAAATGTTATCAGAAGCAAAGAATGCAAGGCCTGTTTCTCCATGAGCAGAACAGAGCAATTCTACAGATTGCCACAGTAACCCATGGAAATGCTCATTACGATCTAAATGTTTTTGGTACCTGGACACAAGGGGCATGAGGGTTTCAAGAAGGAGACAGTGACCCCCAATGATCTTGAGGCACAGAGTAAGATGAAGACTGAGAAGTGAACGTTGTTTTCCAATGGCAGTTGGTAGCCTTGACATAGCGGCAGCGAACTGCTGGGGACAAAAGCTGGACTGGAGTGAGCTGAGCTGAGGATCCGGCAAGGAAGTGGTCATGTCGATTACAGCCATTTATTTCAGTAACGTTTGCTGGGAGAGAAAGCAGGGACAGGAGGCAGTATCTGGAGGGAAAGTGGGACCAAGGGAAGATTATTGTCTCATTTGCAGTGGGAGATACTAAGATGTGTTTGGGTGCCAGTGTGAATTAACCAGGGAGGAGGGGTTCTGTGGCTTGCAAGGAACCAGGTTTGCGACTAATCTAAATGTTATCAGAAGCAAAGAATGCAAGGCCTGTTTCTCCATGAGCAGAACAGAGCAATTCTACAGATTGCCACAGTAACCCATGGAAATGCTCATTACGATCTAAATGTTTTTGGTACCTGGACATTTATACTTCTAGCTTGTTACTCACTACCTATATCTGCTTTTCCCTCCCTTTTGGGTCAGCCTGTTTCCATTTCTACCTATTTCTGATAGATTTATTTAGGAAACAGCTGAGCCTTGTATAAACAATATGAATAGCATAAAATTCCACTTATAAGCCATGAACCGCGGATACAGTTTAACAGTATATTGGAGAAATTGGGAAGATTAAATATTTTTTTAAATTAACCTATCATTCTTCAGTGTGAAACTGACCTTCTTTCTCTTCTGTTTCAGTATCTTATTCTATCTCATACTCGTTTCAGAGAGTATTTCAGACTCTGAAATGAGTATTATCTCTTCAGGTCATCTTTGAGATTCTGACTTTCTACTTTGGTTTCCATACCTTTCATGTCTACACTCACAGACACATGTATATCCATTCAGTCATGTGTACATCTGCATGTAAGTACATGAACATAAGTGTTCTTCCCTTCACTTGTTGCTTCCTTTTACAACTTCTCAGTAGTTCATTTTTGCCCCGTGGACGGGTTGTGGCCCAAGTTTGCATTTTGAGTGCCAGCCTCTGCTTGTCTGAGCACTGATCAGGTGTACAGGAGAGTTCCGGGGGAGCCAGAAAGATGGCGACCGTAGAGATTTCAATATTGCGGTACCTGCGGTCAAAGCTGTTGATTTCCTTTCTCTGATTGAGACAGGCGTCTTGAAGAAAAGCCTAGGATTATTCCTTTGCTCCCTGAATGGGCTCTCACTCTGCCTCTGCAGGGTTAATCCAACCTCAACCCAGTGGCTGAAAGAATCTGCTTAAAGATAATTCAGTGCCCAATGATGCAAAGGGCTGAAAATGCATAGTAAAGAGGAAAGTTGGCTTGTGCAGCATGAAAAAGAGTAATGTCCCAAGAAAAAGCAGTTTCCTTTGTCTTTATCTTATTAGTAGCACTGTACCCCGTAAGTTTTCCGATGGGTTTCGAAGAGATGGTATTTTAACAATATTCTGTTGCCGCAGAGTATAAGACAAGGGCGCAGACGGACAAGCTCCAGAGTGAGATCGACATGTTGAAGGAGCAGCTGCAGCTCACCAAGTCTCAGCTCGAGGCCGCACAGCTCGCCCATGCAGTCCGGTTCTCTAAGGTACGATGCTGAATTCTGAAGCACTGGTGTGTGGGGAAGGACTGGGGTTCATTCCTTTTAAATGCTCGGTAGAGTTCACCAGTGAAACCATCAGGTCCTGAGCCTTTGTTGGTAGTTTCTTTTGATTTCTGGTTCAATCTCTTTACTCCTTATTGGTCTGTTCAGATTTTCTGTTTCTTCATGATCCACTCTTGGCAGATTGTATAGTCTCTAGGAATCTTTGAGACTTTGGACCTCTATGTTTATACTTTAAGAGATGTAAGGACAAAAGGATGCTGTGTGCTGCCTTTGGTTTGGGAAAATCATTGTGTACAGACCTGCCTTTATACGCAGTGTTTTTTGCAACAAAACAAACCAAAGAAAGGCCTGACTGAAATTTGCAAGTCTCACTGACCCATGTGAGGAGAAGCTGTGCCCATTTATTTAACATTCTGCAGGCTTGCTTCATGTCAGAGCTTTTAAACCCATGTATTGAATCAATTTCAGGAATATGAAATGCAGAAAACAAAAGAGGAAGAATTTCTGAAGTTATTCGATAGATGGAAAGAAGAAGAAAAGGAGAAACTAGTTGATGAAATGGAAAAAGTCAAGGAAATGTTTATGAAGGAGTTTAAAGAACTGACTTCTAAGAACTCAGCATTAGAATATGTGAGTATTAAACCTAGGAGTCCTCATAGCATTGACAGAGTTGTGGCTTTTAGAGGTGGTGTAACAGTGGCAATATGGCCCTCAGACCCACAGTTCCTTTATTGTGCCCTGGCCCAGACTCCCATCCTCCCTGAGAGTCTAGGGAGCTCGGGCATATGAAAGACAGAGCAAGTCCTTAAGAGCAGGAGCTCTGGCCCCAAACCCCAGTGCAGAACACTTGGCACACTTGGGTCAGATCAGAGAAGGGCCCTCTTGCTTAACTCTTTAGGTTTGGATAGCCTGAAACCATAACCCCTTCCCCAAGTTTTGGAGCTTTCCAAAGTTCCAAAGGAACTTTCTACAAAGACTGACACAGATCCCCAGCGTGGCAGAAAGAAGCTGACCCAGAAAGACAGGCCTGTTTGGTCTGAGTGAGGTGGGTGAGCGGGATGTGATTAAATGTAGCCCCTCCCGCTTTTCTGTGGGAGCGGGCTTGGTCACAGGGAAGCAAAGGAGACCAGGGAAGATTCTTGAGCTCCCTCTAGGGGCAACATGTTTTATAAACTGAAATAGAGGGGTAGTTTGGGAAAACTGCAAAGATCCTTCTCTAAAACGCCCTGAACCCTCTCATCAGTTCAGTTCAGTCGCTCAGTCGTGTCCGACTCTTTGCGACCCCATGAATCACAGCACACCAGGCCTCCCTGTCCATCACCAACTCCCGGAGTTTACTCAAACTCATGTCCATCGAGTCAGTGATGCCATCCAGCCATCTCATCTTCTGTCGTCCCCTTCTCCTCCTGCCCCCATTCCCTCCCAGCATCAGGGTCTTTTCCAATGAGTCAACTCTTCGCATGAGGTGGCCAAAGTATTGGAGTTTCAGCCTCAGCGTCAGTCTTCCCAATGAACACCCAGGACTGATCTCCTTTAGGAGGGACTGGTTGGATCTCTTTGCAGTCCAAGGGACTCTCAAGAACCCTCTCATAGGGATGGGCAAACTATGACTTGGGACCCAAATCTAGCAAACCACCTGATTTGGTATGGTCCTTGATCTAAGAAAGGTTTTCACACTTGAAAGTGGTTGAACAAAGTCAGAAGAAAAGATATTTCATGACATGAAAATGGCATAAATTGACCTTCTGGTGTGTCTGCAAGAGAGTATTTTGGAATACAACTGTGTTGTTTCCTCTGCACTTTCTTTATGGAGCTTTTGTGCTGCCGCCATGGGGTTGAGTCGCTGTGACCAAGACCTTACATGTCTCCAAAGTCAAATACTATTTGGCTCTTTACAGAAAAAGTTTGCCAGCTGCTGTCATATCTTTATAAAGCAAATGTGGCCCAGGGCTAGGTAGCAATTGGTGACAGTGAAATGGGTGTTCATTATACTGTCCTTTCAACTTTTCCATAAGTTGTAATTTGCAGATAAAAAGTTGAGGGGAAGTTAATGTGGGGTGGCTCATTGTGTCTTTTCTGTAGGGCTTCCTTCAGGCAACTCCCTGTTGGTTCAGGCGTCCCCACATCACCGCCCTTGGGTCTGAGCATCAGAGCTCTTGGACAGTTGTTGTTCAGTTGCTCAGTCGTGTCCGACTGTGACACCATGGACTGCAGCATGCCAGCCTTCCGGGTCCTACACCATCTCCTGGAGTTTGCTCAAACTTGGAGTCACTGATGCCCTCCAACCATCTCATCCTCTGTCGCCCCCTTCTGGCCTCCTCACTAAATCACCCGGTCAATCAACTGCACCCGATTCCTCTGTTTCTGGCAACCGTTAGCTCCCCATCGCCCATCGCCTAAGATTAGGAAATTAGGTTTTCCTTTCCCTTTTTCACCCTGTGCATGTTCTTTTGTTGGAAGGAGTAAAACAGGAAAACCACTGTGAAGAGAAGCGCAATGAGTGTCTTGTAGGATAGTCAGATTTAATATGTGGCTACAGGCTCCCCAATTTTGTCCTCTGTTTCAGTCTTTATTTCTTAATTAAAAATTAAAAAAAATTTTTTTTTGGCTATGCTGGGTCTTCATTGCTCTGCAGGCTTTTCTCTAGCTGGGGAGAGCTGTGGCTCCGCTCTAGTTGTGAAGCTCAAGCTTCTCATTGCAGTGGTTTCTCTTGTTGCAGAGCGTGGACTCTAAGACACGCCAACTTCGGTAGCTGTGGCCTGTGGGCTTAGTGGTTGTGGCACATGGGCTTAGTTGCTCCACGGCATGTGGGATCTTCACGGATCAGGGATCGAACCCACGTCTCCTGCATTGGCAGGCGGATTCTTTCCCACTGAGCCACCAGGGAGGCCCTCTGTTTCAGCCTTATAGAAATATGAACATTTTTACCAGTGATTTCCACTTTTATTTTATAGCAATTGTCAGAAATCCAGAAGTCCAATATGCAGATCAAGTCTAACATAGGCACGCTAAAAGATGCACATGAGTTTAAAGAAGAACGTCCACAGCATCCCCAGGATTTCCAAAATGTGATGCAGCTACTTGACAATCAGAACTTTCAAAAGGCATAGAAAGGCATTTTGAAGCACAGACTATTTTTTCAGAGCTTATACAGTTGCACTGGTAAACTGATGATCTTTTACATGTATTAGGTAAATTACAGTCATCTGGAAGTGAACCTCAGTAATCAGTACGGGCTTCATCCTGCCTCTTTTGGTCACACTGATTTAGGAGAATTTTTTTTTTAGCCAGAAAACATAGAGATTAAAGCTTATGAATTCATGATTTTTTTCAAAAAGCAGTATTACGTCATTTTTAAAAATGTGTTTTTCAAGGACCTATTGTATAACACATGGAACTGCTCAACGTTATGTGGCAGCCGGGATGGGAGGGGGTGTGGGGGAAAATGGATACATGTGTGAATGGTTGAGTCCCTTCAGCTGTTCCCCTGAAACTATCACATTGTTAAACGGTTCTGTGTGTGTGTGTGCTAAGTCATTTTAGTCGTGTCTGACTCTGTGTGACCCCTTGGACTGTAGCCCGCCAGGTTCCTCTGTCCATGGGGATTCTCCAGGCAAGAATACTGGAGTGGATTGCCATGCCCTCCTCCAGGGGATCTTCCCGACCAAAGGCTCAAACCTGCATCCATTTTGTCTCCTGCATTGGTAGGCAGGTTCTTTACCACTAGTGCCAGCTGGGAAGCCCAATCAGCTATACCCCAAGACAAAATAAAAAATTAAGAAAAAACGTAAATGTGTTTGTGAATATGGACTACAGCCACAGCTTCTTGTCTTGCCTCTCTCCCCCAAATCTACCTTCTGCATTGCAGCCAGGCTGACCACATCACCACCCTGCCTAAAATCCTTCAGTGACTCCCCATTTTTCACAGAACAAACTCTAGAACCATTAACCAGCATTCAGAGTCCCTGGGCATCCGGTCCTGCTATCTCCCACTATTCTTGGCTTTACCTCAACACACCAACAGCACCTAAAAGCTCCTGGTTCCAGCTTTCTTTGTCATGTACCTCCTAGTTTTTCAGGCCCCATCACTTACTCAGCTGGAATGGCATCCCTTCTGGAAAATTCTCCTGGGCCTCTGGGTTAATGCATGCCACAGTCCTCCAAGCTGGACCTGATCACGTGCACATCATGTGGGAACCTTTCATTGTTATGTTCCCCTCCCTCCCACCCCCGCCCAACCCTGGGCAGGGCAGGGCCTGCCTCTTAGCTCTCCACCAGCCTGGTGGCTCTGGTGGTGAACCCACCTGCCAATGCAGGAGACATAAGAGACGCTGGTTCAGTCCCTGGGTTGGGAAGATCCCCTGCAGGAGGGCATGGCTACCCATGCCAGTATTCTTGCCTGGAGAATCCCATGGACAGAGGAGCCTGGAGGGCTACAGTCCAGGGGGTCGCAGAGTTGGACACGACTCTTGTGACTTAGCATGCACGCACACAGCCTGCTGCAGCTGCCCAGTGAGGTGCAGGTACATGGTAGGGAATCAGGAATTGGATCCTGGTGGTTGCTCCCAGCAGGCTGCTGTCTCACTAACTGAGGGACTCAGTTATGAAACTCTCAGGTGTCCCCTGAATTTCTTTTGTCTGAGGCCTTCCTGTGAGCTCTGTCAGTTCATAACCCCTAGACTCAGAAACCGTGACATTTCCTTTTGACTTCTTAGGTTGGCAGGCTAACACCTGTTTTTTAAATGAAGTTTTATTGAAACACAGAGCTTCCCTGGTGGCTCAGATGATAAAGAATCTGCCTGCAATGTGGGAGACCTGGGTTCTATACCTGGATAGGGAAGATCCCCTGGAGGAGGGCATGGCAACCCACTCCAGTATTCTTGCCTGGAGAATCCCCATGGACAGAGGAACCTGGCTGACGACAGTCCATGGAGTTGCAAAGAGTCGGACAAAGAGTTGGACTGGACTGAACACCTAAGCACTAAAATGCAGCCTTGCTACTATGTATCATCTGTGGCTGTTCGTTCATGTATTACTTATGGCTGTTCTCCCATTTCTAGTAGTAGTTACTGAGTCATCTGGCCCCCAGAGTCTAACATATTTTCTATTAGCCCCTTAATAGAAAATATTTGCTGACCCCTGCCTTAGCATGAGAGATGATAACCAAGTGCAAATGTGATTAAACATTTCTGACTGTATTTGTCTTTAAAAATGGCTGCTAAAATTTTACCCAAATAGTTGGGTTTCCTAGATACTCACTGAAAAAGAAGCTCTCATTCTGAGTAGATGTCATTATTATGAGTGCATGCTAAGTGGCTTCGGTCATGTCTGACTCTTTGTGAGCCTATGGACGTAGCCCTCCAGGCTCCTCTGTCCATGGAATTTTCCAGGCAGGAATACTGGAGTGGGTTGTCATGCCCTCCTCCAGGGGATCTTCCCCACCCCAGGATCAAACCCACGTCTCTTATTTCTCCTCCATTGGTAGGCAGGTTCTTTACCACTAGTGACACCTGGGAAGCCAGTCATTATTATAGTTGTACCTGAATTCCTCCTGTTTTACTGTTTTGCAGGAAAGCAAGTGGACAGCTCGTGTTCAGGCGCTTCATCAAGAACACAAGAAAGAAAAGAGCCGGGTAAGATTAAGAAATGAATGGCCTATAAAACGTGGGTTTTTCCGAAAAGAGTATTTGCTCTTCTTTATAATAAAGATAATATTTGTCCACTGAAAACAATTTGTAGAGAAATGTATACCAAAATTTTAAATTATTTATAATTCCAACACCAAAGATAACCAGTGCTACTGCACCGTTATAATTTCTTCAGTCTTTTTGATGCTGTAAATATGCTTCTATAGGTATAGAAACCCATACATATAATTTGTCTCACAGTTTTAAAATTATGCTTTATATCTATAACTTTATACATTTTAATTTAATATATCATAAACATTTTCCTATGTTTTAAAATATTCTTCAAAATTGTAATTTTTTTTAATGACTCCATGATGATCTTATGGATGTATCATCAGTTATTTAATCTCTTCTTCATTGCTGAATGCATATTTCTAATTTTTCTGTATTACAGAGTGGCAATCTAAGCTTTGAATACAGGCCAACCTTGTTTTATGGCACTTTGCAGATAATTGTGTTTTTTATAAATTGAAGGTCTGTGGCAACCCTGCATTGTCAGATGATACATTTTTTAGCAATGAAGTATTTTTAATTAACATATGTACATTGTTTTTTAAGACATAATGTTATTGCACACTTAATAGGCCACAATGTAGTGTAACATAACTTTTACATACAGTAAGATACTAAAAAATTCATGCGACTTATTTTATTGCAATTTGGCTCTGTTGCTATGATCTGGAACTTAATCCACAGTATCTCTAGGTCTGCCTATAAAAACGAGGATCATTCATATTAAAGTCACTTTTTAAGTCATTTTAATGAAAACAAAAATTAATTGTAACACCTGTTAGGTACATCAGAAATTTAAGTGCTAAAATGCTTTAATAATAGTGCAAAAATATAGATTTATTTGTGATTTTAAGATAGGAAAAACATCTGTTTATTTTTTCACTTCAAATTGTATGTGTTTTGTAGCCCTTTGTATCCCCTTTTAGGTGAACAGCATAGACTGGGTGGCTTATAAACAACAGAAACTTATTTCTCATGGTTCTGTTGCTCCAGCAATTGGACAGACAGAGTTTGTTAAAGGGGAGTAGTGGCTGGGCTATGAGTAGATATAACGCCCAATTCATTTCTCCAACCTAAGTCACCCTTCTGAGCTCTAGACGAGATAACCGTCTTGGTACTCGGCATCTGCACAGCTTCTTAAATGTGATGTGTCTAATATGAGGTCCTTGGGTTTGTTCCCAGACATCTTTTTTTTTTGGTTGATGGCATCCTTGTCCACTCAGATGCAGACATTGATTCCCATCTCCTCTTCAACTCCCAGTTCCATGTTCTTCTGGACATTTCTATGGCTTCCATTGCTTCTCCACTGAGCTCCCAGCATTTCTAAAAGGGCCTCCTATCCTGTCTCCCAGTTCCAGCCTTCCTCTCTTATAATCTACTCTCTGCAGAGCAGACAGGACAACCTTGCTGCTCAGCTTATCCTGATCCTCTCTCTCAACCTACTATCTTAGCTATGATGGCCTTCTAGTAATTTATAGAACACACAGCATGTAGCCTTTTTCTCCTTGTACATGTGGTTTGTTGCTTCTTGAAGGTCCTTCCCCTTGCTCCTTATGCAGCGGGCTCCTTCTCCTCTGATTTAGTTTTCTCTGAAAGTGAAAGTGTGAGTCGCTCAGTCATGTCCACCTCTTTGTGATCCCATGGACTGTAGCCCACCAGGCTCCTCTGTCCATGGAATTCTCCAGGCAAGAGTACTGGAGTGGGTTGCCATTCCCCCCTTCTCCAGGAGATCTTCCGGACCCAGGGATCAGACTTGGGTCTCCCGCATTACAGGCACATTCTTGACGGTCTAAGCCACCAGGAGGGAAGCCCTGGTTTTCTCTGCTGTGTTGCAAATGACCGCAGATTTAGTATGTCACAGTTTCCACGGGATAGGAGTCTAGGCACGGCTGAGCTGGGGCTTCTGCTCAGGGTTTCACCAGCTGCCCTGGACGTGTCAGCCGAGCTGTCTCCTCTGGGGCTCTGGGGCCTCTCTGAAGCCTGTTCAGATCTTTGGCAATGTGCAGTTCCGGAGTGAGGGTGGAGTGAGACTCAGTTCTGCAGTTCGCAACCTGACTGTGACTTCTTCAAGGCCAATAGCAGAGCATCGCTTCTGCCTTCATTCTCCTCCTTTAGACACCTGAAGTCACCTCAGACCAGTCCATCCAGGGAAGCGATCCTTTCCCTTCATTATTCTCATCACTTCACAAGTGGACCTCTGATCACTATTTTAAGTAGTGATCACTATTTTAAGTAGTGATCACTATTTTAAGTTGTTTATTGTCTGTCTCTCCAGCCAGATCACTAGCCTTTCGAGGGAGGGACTTTATCTGTTTACTCCTCCACTGTATTCCCAGAATCTAATAATGTGCCTAAAATGTGGTTGCTCTTGTTTAGTTGCCCAGTAGTGTTCGACTCTTTGAGGCCCCATGGACTGCAGCACGCCAGGCTTCCTTGTCCATCACCATCTCCCTGAGTTTGCTCAAACTCATGTCCATTGAGTCAGTGATGCCATCCAACCATCTCA